GGCAATACCCGCGCCCGCTTCTCGCGCCGCTTCTCCCGGGTCTCCCCCGAGACCAGGGGGCGGGCCGTTTTGCGGGGCAGCGTGGTAGCCCGCCTCGTGGCCACCTGGCTGGCCGGCCGCGCTGGCGGCTGCGGCCTGCGGAGGCCCCTGTGGACCGCGGGGCCCGCCCCCTGGCTGCGCTGCGTCAGCGCCAAGGCCGGGCGGCTTCGGCGGCCGGCGCCAGGCGGGGCCCCCGCGGCGCCCTCGGCAGGCCGGAGCCGGCGCTGTTCTCTCCCATCGCCGCGGCGGTGCATCTGCCGCGTTCCTCTCGGACGGCACCCACCGGAAGTACCAGCTCGAGCCGGCGGCAATGGCGAAGGCGGAGGCTCGACGAACAAGAGTGAGGATCGCATAGCTGCGAGCCCTGGATCTCTCGAAAGCCACAGTGTTCCCCAGCTGGTCCCCCAGAAGCAAATGTCGTTTTCCAAAAGCCCCTGCATGGCGAAGCTTGCGCCTCATCCCCAGCAGCGTGGCCCGGCCCTCCTTCGTCGGCATCCCCTCCTCCCGATGAAGCCTCGTCGACAAAATGACGTGCCACTTGGATTGGTCAGTGATGCCTTCCGGTACCTCCTGGAAGTTATTGTTTCCCTCGAGCATCTCCAACTCGCCCCCGGGGCCCATGGGGATCACGGTATCGAGGTCCCTGAAGGGGTCCCGTGGCCCCATGGCATTGCGACGAGGTTGATGGAGAGGATGCTTTCCCCGATATCTCCAACGCTCTGATATGCAACCGATCTTCGCGACCTCCTGCGCTGGAATCACGCGACTAGCAACGCCAATCCCGCTCTCGCAGGCGTCAGTGCAAAGGACCTCAGGGTGCCATTCGCGGGACAGCTCGGCCGCGCAGAGGTAAGTGAGCACCCTCACCCACCTCGCCTCCTTCCTGACAGAGGCCCAAGGCTCGGCCCACTGCCCGCCGACCTTCTCCACGAAGTCGTAGCAGCTCCTGAGGCACGACAAACCTTCCCGCATGATGAGGAAGTGATCCACGACATGGCCGAGCCACCGCCTGACCATGTGACCAGTCACTCGACGGCAGCCTTCTAAATGCCGGCACGCCCGCTGCAGGCGAGCCGCCCGCTCCGGCTTGTTCATGACCAGCCAGCGGGCGCCGTCCAGCTTCCGGCCCAGGATCTCGTGGTCGGTCGAAGCGTCGGTCTCCACGTGAACCCTGAAGCCGACGCGGCGAAGCTGGCCCACTACCAAATTCTTGGCCTGCTGCACCTCCTCGCGACTTACGCCGTACACGTTGAGGTTGTCGCAGTACGGCAAAACGCCCACCCCGCCCAGGATGTCAGGGAGTGGCCCAGCGTCGCGGAGCTGCCCGTGGGGCCGCCCCTGGAGGGCCACGGAAATCTGGTTCTCCAAAACCTTCTGCCCCAGGAAGAACGCCCAGGACCATCCCATTGGGACGGTGACAGCCCTCGGCCGCACTTCCCGAAGGCCGGAGCGGCGCGCCATTGACAGCACCTCCTCGGCCCCGGGCCAATCTACGAAGCCCCTCTCAAACTCCTCCAAGGTCAGGGAGGGGTAGCAGAAGTAATCCTTGAGCTCGGCGGAGTTCTCGAGGCTGTGGAAATAATCCTTGACGTCGGCCCCGGCGAAGTATAGGTCATGGTCGCCAGCGGGCCGCTCGACGCGGGCCCAGGCCGCGCCCGTCCCCATATCGAGGCTGGGCGCTGGGCGGAAGCGCAAGTTCGACCACCTGCAATCCAGGATGAGCCGAAGATTCTTGTTCTTCTTCTCGACGAAGAACGGTGTGCATATCTCCTTTGGGGTGACAGAGAAGTCCACCAGCCCAGCACCCAGGACGTCTGCGATGAAGCCAACGTAAGCTGACCGATCTTTGCGCAGCACCTCGTCCATGTAGAGCTGTTGAGGCGTACCTGACTCCATCTGCCATCCAACGTCATCTGGGTCTGACAGCATGAATTCATCCGACCGCTCCAACAAAGTCCTCTCCGGCCTCCCGCACGCGGCACTGAGCGGCACTGGGGACGCACCAGCTACGGGTATGGATACCAGAGAGCGTTGGTAAGGTCTGACGGCAGTGGCTTGATCGACTCCCGCGTAGTCGATCACAGTGGGCATGAGCTCATTGAAGGCCCCGTGCCTGGTGTACAAGGATTCGTTGTATGGCAGCTGCCCCACCCTCCGGAGGACGGAGCTCTGAGACGTAAGCTGGGCGAGACTCGGACTGGCCGTGGCCGAAGCCCCTGGAGCCGCGCCGGCCATCTCATTCAAAACTTCGAGGACTTCATTTGCCCTCTCCTGGACTCCCGCACGTCGCAGTAGTCGCCGACGAAGGTAACCAGGCGTGCCCGGGCGGATAGCTGGCTCCGCTGGCACAGGTGGAAGGGGAAAAAGTTCCCGAGGCCGATGTCGTCGCCCATCGTGACGAGCCCCCACATGACTCGGGAATGAATTCTGATGCAGCGCCTGCTTGTCGGGACGGGTCGGCGCTCTCCCGCCCCCGAGGCCAGCCATAGACTTAGCCATTTCCGTTGTCGTCGTTCTTCTTTCTGTTTGGGTTTTGCTTGCGCAGGCGCTGCTCCTCCTTGGCCTTCCTCATCTCCTTGGCCACGGCTGCCTCCCCGCGAACCTGCTCGGCCACGTGGCTCCGCAGACCTGGGTCCGGGACGGCCCCGGACCGCCTGGTCGACCAGCCCATGTAGTGGTCCGCCGCGCTGTAATCAGCGATGCCGCCAGAGGCGTGCGCGTCCTCGATCAGCTGGAGACGCCGGCTGATCAGCTCCGCCGACTTCAACGCCGGCGCGTTCAACTGGTCGACCGTGCACATCGCCTCCATGATGTGGGAGAGCGCCTCGTGCTCGTACGGGCTGCGGTCCCCGTCCGGAATCCGAGCCGCGTGCCGCCAGTGCTCGCTCTGCGTGATCGGCGTCTGGCTGGACACGGCGAGCTGCTGCAAACGGTTGAAGCACATCCTCGGCCCGGTCAAATCGAGCCCCCCCTCCGGCTCCTCTCCCGCCATCTTCTGGACGGACTCGGCGAAGGGGCGGCGACGTTGACCAGTGCCGTCGAACTTCGCTGGCAGTACGCGGAGGTCCTCCATGACATACTGCTCCAGATTGCGCCGCTCGACCATCTGTATGAAGGCGGTCCCCTCCTGGAGCTGCACGAGCCCGTGGTCTCCCATCGTCACCGCGTCGGCTGGCAGCGCCCCGACTGCATCGCCTCGCCGATGGCCCTCGCAATCCTCGGCGTACACCCAGAGGCGGCCTGGCGGCGCTGCCGCCGCCGCCGCTCCCGCGGGGACGGCTCGGGGAGCCGCCGCCAACTCCGCACCTGGGGCTGGCCTCTGCCTCTGCTGCAAAGCCGGCGGTGGCGCGATGTTGCCGAGCATCAGCGCCGCGTCCCTGTAGTACTGCCGCAGCACCTGTGCCGATGGCACCTGCCGGAACCGATACACGTGGCGAGCATCGACTCCTGGCGGGGTCGCCCCCTGCATGCCGATCCATCTCACCTCGAGCACGTCGTCGCCGATCTCGATGCTCTGGGGGTAGTGGTCCCCGTCTGGCGTCGCCATCGTGATCGTCGTCGGCGTCGCAACCGAGACTCCTGCCACCAAAGCCTCATGATAAAGGGGCTGCCCAGGCTCGTTGTAGAGCAGCAAGATGTAGTCTCCGGGCGCCGCCATCACTCCGGCGAGTGGGTCGATGCGGGACCCGCGTCGGGCGCCGACCTGAACTGGAGCGCGGCCCGCTGCCGGGCCCTCTCGGCCTGCTCGCGGGCCCTGGCGACCACCTCGGCCTGCTCGCGCGCGCCGGCCACCGCCTCGGCGCGCCCCCGCCCGCGGCGACGGCACCCGTCCCGCAGGCACTCGTTGAAGCGGACGGCAAGGTGGAGGACCACCGTGCCGAGAGGGCCCAACGCGAAGGCCCACGCAGGGGGCGCCTCTGGGCACCCAGGGCAAGGCGGGCACGGCGGGGGCTTCTCGCACCCCGGGCGCGCCGCACAGGGCGGCGCTGGCCCGCACGCCGGACAGGCCGGGCACGAGCAAGGGGCCGGCTCGCACGCAGGGCAAGCCGGGCAGGTGATATTGCACGCAGGGCAGTTCAGCCCGCCCGCGGCCCACGCAGCAGCCGCTGATCCCGCGCCGGGCAACGCCTGCTCGAGGAAGTGCCAGCCCAGGGCCGCCCAGCCGGGCGCAGCCACCAGCGCCAGCTGCCGGTGGTGCCCAGGAGCGGCCATGCACGGACCCCAACTCTCCCCAGAAAAGTTCGAGCCCTTGAGCGAGTACGGAGGAGGAAAGCGTACAGACTGCAGAAACAAGTGATGCAAGCTACTTCTAAGCTGTTACATTGAAATGCCATTGCGTTCATTAGAGTGGTGCGAGAGGACGCGCAAACAGCGCTGGAAAAACAGGCGGGGGGGAAATTCTGTACAAAACGATTGTTTTGTACAGAATTTCCCCCCCGGAACTTTTTCCTAAGAAAACCGCTCTGTAAACAGATGTCATATTCACAGCTCAGAGGGCCCTTGGATCATCCTGCAGGTGGCGTTCTTTGCAGTACCGCGTGGCGTCTTTTCACGTCAGCATAAGGTGTGCACGCACAAGAAATGGCCCACGCCATGATATCCACCCCCCCCTAGTCATCACCCCCCTCTTTGCCGCCCCCGAGTTTCGGAGTCGTGCGTTTTCTGTTGCGCGATGGTCCGGGATGATCCTCGATGGTTCTCGCCGAGAAGACATGCACACGCCCGAGCGATGCCGAGGACAGGAGGCCAACATTCCGGCGGGGCCACCACTGTGAGACACCGCAGGCGTGCACGTGAACAGCCACCAGTTGACAGTCTTCTGTAAACGACAGTGCGCGGAGAGGGCGGGGGAGCACATTCGAGACGCAGTCGGGTAAGAAGGTTGGGAATGGTGTTCATACTGAGTGAATCGTTGCATGGCTGTCGAGCAGCGGGGGCGATGAATACGCGGCCCCGCAGTCCTGAGCCGCCTCGAACTGCCGCATCTGCTGCTGCTGGGCCTCCAGCTCCGCAGGATCGAGCCCTTGGAGGAGGCCCTCCTGGACAGGATCAGACACGGGCGGGCGGAGGACGCTCCTCCTCCTCCCCCTCCTCCTCCTCCTCCTCCTCCTCCTCCTCGTCCTTGCCCTCATCGTCTTTCTGTTTCTTTTTTCCTCCTCTGTCGGGCGTTGCCAGAACTGGGTTTGGTGGGACCTGGTCTGGTGATGTGTGCTGGGGGACGCCCCCCCCCCCACGCCCCGCTCCACTGATCGGAACTGCCGTCACCACAACAAAAACTAGCTGCGGCAGACCTGGATTGCAAAAAAACCCTGGATTGCAAAAAAACCCTGGATTGCAAAAAAACCCTGGATTGCAAAAAAACCCGGTTTTTTTTTGCAATCCCTGGGTTTTTTTGCAATCCTGGTTTTTTTTGCAATCCTGGTTTTTTTTGCAATCCTGGGTTTTTTTGCAATCCTTCGTTCAGTGGTTCTGGTCCATTCAAGGGCCCCGGGGCCCCACCACCAGCCGGGGCCCCTTGCCTGGGGTCCTGGCCACACCCGACTCTGCCCCGTGCCGCCCGTCGCCGTGGCGGAGCTCCGGCACGGCCTAGGCCGCCGGGGGGCGAAGAGAGTCGGGCGAAGCACCACGGACGACCCCGGTGCTTCCAAAGCTGTCGGCCCTTCCGCGGGTGGAGGGCGCGCGGTTTGCAAGAGGTGGCTCTCGCCCCAGCGCCGCTCGCACTCGCCCGAAACATGTGCACAAGGGCTTCACGGGTAGATGGCGGGTGGTTCTCAGAATGTGGCTCTCGCCCCAGCGCCGCGCGCAGTTTTTTTTTTCATGTTGCGAGAGCTTCGCGGGTTGAGGGCGGGCCGTTTTCAAAATGTGGCTCTCGCCCCAGCGCCGCGCACATGTATTCTGAACAGTTGCAAGAATTTCACAGATTGAAGGCGGACTGTTTTCAAAATGTGGTTATCGCCTCAACGCCGCGCACATTCGTTTTAAGGATTTGGACGAACTTCACGGATTGAGGGTTGAGTTTTTTTTTTAATGTGGCTCTCGACTAAGCGCCGCGCGCACTCGTTCTAAACATGTGTAAAGAGGTTTCACATATTGCGAGCGGCTCTTCATCAAACCGTTGGTTCTCGCTTTAGCGCCGCGCACATTCGTTCTAAACATTCGAAGACGTTCTCGGATTGAAAGCGGCTCCCTTTCAAAATGTCGCTCTCGCCTTCGCGCTGCGCACAATGGTCCTAGAACTTTGCAAGAGCTTCGCAGATTGAGGGTGGCTCCTTTTCAAAATGCGGCTCTCGCCGTAGCGCCGCGCACATTCGTTCAAATCTGTGCAAGAGTTTCACTGGCTCTCCTGTTTAGCGTGCCAGACATGATGGTGTTTTGAGGGGGTTCAATATTGTCAGGGAGAATCGATTACGTGGATTCGCGGTGCTGAAGTCCCGGGAGTGGTATTCTGGCACGATTCAGAATCAGGTTAAGTCGTGGCGTTGCAGTCCTGAGAATACTGTCTGGCACGCTTCAATATGTTCACACGGTTGTCCCCCAACAGGGCAATTCTCTCAGTGGAACTGACCCATTGTGGGGGCCTGTGAAAAGAGATGTTGGAGAGAGGGTGTATTTCGACATCGTTGATGACTCTTGGGTTTGCACTGGTCCTTTTCCTCTTCCGCCTCGCTAGACAGAAGGTGGGGTACCAACGTCCACCCTTGGGGTGAGAAGGAGGTTTCGCGGGGGGGGGGGGGGAGCGACAGATGACAACATCAATGACTGTAGTGGTGACTATGCTGGATATGCGCCCGCGAGCTGGTGACGATGCATGATGACGATGCTGGTGGCGACGCGCGATGGCGATTGCGATGGTGACGATGCATGACGACGGGCAGCACGCAACAGCAGCAGCAACAGTGCATCATGCAACGTCGCCTGGAAGAGCCTGGCCAACCGGCAGCCACAAAGCAAACGCCACGGGCAAGACACACCCGCGACTGCGCACTCATCACTGGTGATTGCGTGATTATCGCCATCGCGGGCAAACTTTTTGGTCTGCGGGTCGAGAGCGGGCCTCTTCCGGTTAAGAGCTAGGCGGGGCGCGCGAAGCACTAATTGGGGAGACAGGGCGCGGGTGGGCGGGGCCTCAGGCGGCCAGAGGGTGCGGGGTGCAGGCGGTGCCGAAGAGCTTGCACAGGAAAAGGTACGCCTTGGACAGCCATCGCGGGCAAACAAATGCCACCTAAACTGCTGGAGGTGGCAAAAGTTTGCTCGCGACCTTCGCGGCGTGTCAGACTATCTAAGCCATTTTCGCACAGCGGCGAGCCAACGCAGAAGACCCAACAGGCCCCCGGGGTGCGCGTCGAAACGAATTCGCGGCCGTTCCGCGCCCCCTCGGCCATGACCAGCGAGCACGATGCAGTACACCGCACGCGGCCGCAGGTGTGGGCACCTCACCGATACTGGCAGAGTCTGGTGGCGTCAGGAAGAACTCTCTGGCCATCGCTCGAACGTTCATTCATTGTGTTTTTTTCGGTTTCGTGCGTGTTTTTCGCCAAATGATCAAGGATGCTGCTGGATGGTCCTCGCCGTCGGAAAAATGCACTCGTCCGAGCGATGCCAAGCTCTGTGACTGATACACACAGTGCAAACTAATGACAGCATAGGGGCACCCTGTGGACACCATGTGAACACCATCGGGGCACCATTGGGCCACCATCGGGGCACCATCAGGACACCATCGAAACACCATCGGGACACCGTCGCGGCACCATGAGGCCACCATCCGGACACCATCGAGGCACCATCGGGACACCATATGGACACTATGTGGACATTACCACGGCACCATATGGCCACCGCCTGGACGCAATTGGGACACCATCGGGACACCACCGGGACACCATCGGGACACCATCGGAACGCCATCGGGACTCGGGACACCATCGGGACACCATCGGGGCACCAGTGTAGTCCATCCGTCCACTATTTGTCTATCGATCTCACTATCGGTCCCATTATAGATATCGCTATTGATCTCACTATTGGTCTCAACCTCGCTCTTACTATCTGTAATCGATCCCACTATTGGTTCCGCTATCGCCCTCAATATCGATATCACTATCTGTTTATAGTTTCCAATGTGTGTCTCGCTATCGATCTATCGGTCTCAGCCCATCTTATCTTATCCAATCCATGCTACCCCATCCAATCCAATCCACAGAGAGAGAGAGAGAGAAAGAGATATTATATCAAGGTGGCAGGCTGGAGGTCAGTCAGGGTGGGCATTTGATCTCAATCCCCCCAAACCCCCTTATCGCCCGCAGGGCGGTCGTATAGGTATTGTTTAGCGCTCCCATATTCGATTTCACCATGGGTCACACAATCATTTTACCAATGCCACTGGCAATCGATCGCATCCACCGGCTTCACGTATCTATCTATCGATTTCACGTGGCAACCATCGGAACAACCGTCGGGACACCATCGCGACACCATCGGGGCACCCCCGGGCCACCGCTGGCCAACCCAGGGGGGCCACAACATCACCTGGCCCGATTTCGCCCTAGCAGCGGGACGCCATCGGGACACGACCAGGCCAACAACGGGACACCGCTGAACATCCGGAGGGGGGTGCAGCATCACCTGGCCTGGTTTCGCCCTCGCCGCGTCGGGATTACTCCTGTCGCCCGAGCACGCAGCCTCGCTCCTCCTCCTCCTCCTCCTCCTTCTCCTCCTCCTCCTCCTCCTCGTCCTTCCCTTCCTCCTCCTCCTCCTCCTCCTCCTGCTCCTCCTCCTCCCTCCTCCTCCTCCTCCTCCTCCTCCTCCTCCTCCCTTCTCCCCCTCCACGTCCTCTTCTTCTTCCTCCTCCTCCTCCACCTCCTCCTCCTCCTCTTCCTCCTCCTCCTCCTCCTTCTCCTTCTCCTCCTCCTCTCCCAGAATCCCCATGTCACTTCGACCTCGCCCCCTAACCTCCGATGCCCTCCTGGACTGGGTCGGGCACGTCCCGAATCTTATCGTGCCGTGCGCGAGAAGGTTCCGAAGCCTGTTTGGTCATGGCGCGCTCTTGCCCTAGACGGCCTCCGAATGACGGGGGGCGGGGGCATCATGAGTGGGCAACCTCGCAGAAACAAATGGGTGCAGAGATGACGCCCCCCTCTCTTAAAGGAATTTTGCGTGTGAAACAAACTCCTTCCCGCTTCCCCATGCCTCTTTTCTTCCTGACGCCTGGGTTCACCTGGTGTGACAGGCTGGCATGAAATGAGACACGCAACAAGAAGTTCTGCCAAGATTTTACATGGTGCCTCCCACTTCTTCCTCCTCCTCCTCCTCCTCCTCCTTTTCCTTTTCCGCCTCCTCCCACTCCTCTTTTTCATCCTCCTTCTCTTGGCCCCCCCCCCTCCTCCTCCCCCTCCTCCTTCCCCCCGCTCGGCTTTACAAAAACCCGCGCTGTCGGGGCCGCGCGCCCAGCTTGGCCGCCCAGCGCGGGCACCTGCTCGCAGGCGGGCGCCCTAGTGCCCGGCCTTCGCGCACTCTCCGCGGCCGGGGGCTTTCCAGCTGACGCCCGACGTTGGCGCGGGGAGCGCCCGGCCTTTAACTGCCGGGGAGAGGTCCACCCGGCGGCCCTCCCAACGTGGGCACTGGTAGAATGCCGCGCGAGCGGGGGCCCCAGCCGCCCCGCAATGCGCTGGGTGCTTCTCGGGAACAAACTTTACAATTGTTTTTTTACCCCTATGGCGGCCCCCCCAGTGCGAGGTCGGCGGAATGCCGCGAGGGAAATAGAGCCCCCGGCAGCCCCGCCAGGGACGGGTTGCTGCGCGGTGGGCAGAAGATCGGACAAAATGGCGAATTGAGACAAGCATGGCTGGCTGCATGGCTGGCCCGCTGGCTGGCTGCATGGGGCGGCCTGCCTCCAGCCCCCTGTCGGCGTTCTGGTGTCCAGGCGCCCCGGCCGAGCTGCGGCGGCGGCGACAGGACGGGGGCGAGGAGGAACGGCAGGTGGCGGGGAGGAGGAAGAGGACGGGAAGGGGCGAGGGCAAGTGGGGTCCCCACGTTTGGT